ATGAGTGTAATAAGAGCATCCATCAACAAAAGGATCACCCTAAGATGATCATCTCGTGGCTATTAAGAATGAATTAAACCAGATGGCTTGTTTCCCAATCTTTCTGACTTGCTCCTACGAAACCAAGGTCGAAAAAGATTGAAAAAATCAATCACTCACAACCACTGATAAAGGATTCCTCGAAAAGTTAAGGATTAGTAATCCTTTTTATAAATCGAATGGATTCGGTCTTATACATACGCGAGGAAGGTAATCAAAAAAAGAAAGAAAATGGGTTCTTCTTTCTTTTATCACTTAGGAGGCATGTGAGATGAAAGTCTCATGCACGGTTTTGAATGAGAGAAAGAAGTAAAGAATCCTCTTTTCGACTCTGACTCTCCCACTCCAGTCGTTGCTTTTCTTTCTGTTACTTCGAAAGTAGTTGCTTTAGCTTCAGTCACTCGAATTTTCGATATTCCTTTTTATTTCTCATCAAACAATGGCATCTTCTTTTGGAAATTAGTGACCTAGCACGACAAAGCACTCTTCGAGGGCACGGAATGTTTAATTTTTTTGTAAGAATATCCATATTAATGTCATTGTTAGATTCTCCAATCGACATAAGGAAAAAGTCAATTCAATTCTCGATGGAAACAAAATTGTGCGAATTCTTCCCCGAACTGAAAGATCATTTCGAGATCTTCGAACATATTCGAGGGTTCAACAACCTTTCATGTATCAATAGATAGAGTAGATTTTCCTATCTTTGGTCAACCTAAGGATTTTCTTCTCTCTACATTTAGTTACCACCAACGCGAGCCTATGCAAAGCAAGCGCAAGTCGGAGCCTCTACCTAGCCCACACCAAGGCGAGGCACATCTTTTCAAAGGTCAAATATGACGATTCGTAGTCCGTCAACTTTTTTCTCCCTTGTAGTCGTTACCCGAATTCGCGCAAGTGTGTCCATACCCTCCAAACTTACTTGACGAGGAATCCTTTCTTGCGAATAAACACAACCCCTACACACACCTAGGAGCACCCCTTCCTACATATCCATACAAGACCCGAGTAGGCAGGTCGGGAAGGCGGCAAGGGCCAACTAAGGGTGGAAAACGAAAGACATTTTTTGGTTTTCCCTGAGCCGAGGGGTGCTTGGGGGGGGGGGCACGACGAAACAAGAGAATTAAAGGCTGCTTTTGCATTGGATGCTCAGACTATTATTTTCATTCTTTCAATGAAACTTCAATTTTCTTTTCTAAGGTGTGTTTCGAGGTGCAAATCACCAAAAACAAGTGGATGTTCAGTCTCAGTGGCAGAAAACCAATACTTTGTGGAACTTCACTTCTAGAGCTCCATCTCCCAGAATCAAAACCTTCTTGTTCTAAAGGCATGGCTTTCTCGCATCTTATTTTACTACTTTGTAGAGGAAGTCAGTCGTGAATCTCGGTATAACTTTATTACATTCCTTCTTTAAACAAATTTCTTGTATGAGTCACATTGTTTGCCACTTTACGATTTATTGATGATTGATTTGACTAACAGTTTGAACTAAATAAGGAACAAGCTTATTTCTTTTTCAAACAAGAGGTAAATAATCGGGTTATACAAAATTAATTGTAAGTTACAATTTTTCTCTTATTAAAATGAAGAAATAAAACATTGAAAAATTCTAGTAAAATATTCCCAATTTGACTTTTAGAAAACAAACGTGATAACTAATTTATAAGTCTCTTCAAATATCAAAATACAAATGTAACTAAGTAATACTTTTTAATTAAAATTGTTTTGCAAATAAGAATTGTTTCGTAATAGAATGCAGTATGACAGAAGAAAAATGGAAATACAAATTGCATGACATTTTATTTAAATATATTAGACAGAATCACCCATGTAGTAATTGAATGAATTGAGTTGTCAACATAAAAGCATATATGAACTCAACGGGATTCCCAACATCTCGTAGAAAAAGGGTATGTAATGCATATTTTCATAAGGGTCTAAATAAGACAAAGAAGTTTTCATAATTTTATTTTTTTCATAATAATAATCGAATTTGGTTCTTTTGAGCGATACGATCCAGAGGAGCTAATTCAAACCCCTCTAGTAAAATAAGAACAACCTTCATGTTTTACCCCCTCTTTTTACTATTAGCAAGAACTTGATTCAGTTGCATATCATAGCGAATTCGGACAACTGCCTCAAATACAGTATCTGGAATATATTATACTATAAAGTATCAACAACACATTTAAAAGCTTTACTTGCTTTAGACATTTAGTGATAAAAATTTACTTACCCAACTAATTTAAATTTGCGTCGAACAAATTCACTGAGGAGGAGTATTAGTATTCTCGAAAAGTTTTTCTTTTATAAAGTTCGAACCTAAAAACTCTTTTCAAATATGAAGGAATTTTAATCATCTTATGACACTTTTTTTAGTCTTAAAAGTTGGACAATCAACAATGCAGGGTGGATTGGCATTATAAATCTCTTGACCTCTTTTTACCTTATATTTGCTTTAATAAAATTGGCATTACACCTTCTTTGTGATGCACTTGGCGACTAAACGCAATGGTTTCCTCGCTTCAGATTTCTTCTCCTCCTTCGCGGCTTGCGGTGATTTACCAGCAACAGTTCCTCTGTTGGGAAATAAACCTGTCTAGATCTAGAATGAACCTCTTTTCTTCTTCCCCCTTTTATTAATATGAAAGTGATTTTTATATTTTTATGGTGGAGTGAATGGCGATAATGGTGGTTTATGGTACTTTTGTGGTGGTGATTTTGAAGGTGAAAATGAATGTATATGCAGTGTATCTCATTGTATTTTTGTGTATGTTTGGTGTACATCTGCTACTTTATGACCTATGTATTACTTTACATATAGTGACAATACACAAGAACTACAAGTAAATACAATGATATACAAGTGAGTATATTTTGCGTGTGACATGTGTATTAATATTATATACATGAGATACACGTGATATACAAACGACATACACGTAGAAAGAACAGGTCAACAATGGGAGAAAACTCTGGCAAAAAGAAAACATCAAGAAAAAAGCAACGGAAAGTCATTTGATTTTCCAGCTAAACACCAAAAAAAAACATGTGAATTGTAGTATCCATTACGAGCTCGGATTAGTGAATGGAAGGATCCAATATGTTCGTATAATGATTTCGGACTTATACGAAGTTCGGTTTAACACCGGAAAAGCTCAGATGTGATGGAGACGTATCTTGCGAACGTTGAAACTTGAAAAACGTAAGAGAGTTTATAATTTGGTTTGGATCTTGATTCTTAGTTGTGATGTTTCCGAATATGTCTTGAATACTTGGACAAGTTCATATGGGGTATAAGGACTAGTTATGATGCTTGGACGAGGTCTCGAGAACCTCATGTGAGTTTCGAAGTGTTCGGAAAAGTTTTTGAGTGAAAAAGGTGTTGCACCATATTATACAGGCTCATCTATGGTCTCGCGTCACATGAACCCCAGACGCGGCCTCAGATGGGCTAGCCTATGGTCTCGTGTCGCGCAGACCACTTTGCGGAGCTTCATTGTTGAAAATTCAGCTTTCTTTTATAACCCCAATTTATACATACCTTCATTTTATTATTTTGGGAGTTATACAACTCGGATTTAGGAGATTTCTGAGGGAAATTTCATCTACATTATTGGAATGAGGAATCCTAACCTAGATCTATAATTTTTGCATGCATATATCATTAATTTTGGCTCCAAATCAAGGAATCTAAAAGAAGAAACGATGATTTTTTACATGGAAGTTAAGAAAGTATAATTTGTGGATTTGACAACGATTTGAAGTCGAATTTGGAAGCGAATCACATATTTGGACTCGTACAGTTATGGGTCAACGAGATCCAATTTTATTCTGAACCTTTACCATGTGGATCCGAGTTGGTTTTTTGTTGACTTTAAAGATTTGATTAAAGATCGAAGCTTTATTGGTTGAGGCTGATTCTAAAGATTTATTTGATCTCGTTGAGTATTCTTTGGCTAGATTTGGAGCATTTAGAGGTCAAGGATAGAGGAAAAGGCATTTGGAAGGTTGAAGCATATTTTGGACGAGGTAAGTATCCTGACTAACCTCGATTTGAGGACTTTTTTTATTTATAAAATGGACTTATATGCAAAGTATTACGTGTTTAGGGATGATGTATATGCAAGGTGACGAGCGTATATGTGAATGCCAAGAATATACCACGTTTGAGGTAGATTTTAGGCTTCTTTATGTCGTGTGTGAGATATGTATCTTCTTGTTTACGCCTTACTTGCGTGTATAGTTACTTGAGCGATTTTATTCATTCTAGAAATCATATTTAGGCTTTTGATTCTTTATTTGGACATGATGGACTATTTTGCATGATGGATTACATGTTGTAATTGTAGTATATTCTACATGTTTATGTCATTGCCCATATGTATCACACATGCTTATTTCTTGTTCATATGCATACATCTCTGCATATGATTCTCTGATATGAACTGAGATTGGCATGATAGGATATTTCATGCGGTTATTGTGATTTTGGCACAATGGTACATTCCGTGCGCATTGATGATTGGTTTTTGAGATATTGATACTAGTTTGGTGCATGGATTTGGATCCAACCCTCCGGAGTCACGTAATTTTCATGTTACTTTTCAGTAGGGCCATGTGAAGTACACTGGGCTTTAACAGGACCCTTATCATCGAGGAGCTGGTTCATTTTGATCTACCATACTCGTATCTAGCAGGTGTTCCAGACTTAATCGACTAGTACACTTGAGGAGTGCAGTCTCACAACCTTCAAGCCTTCAGTTCTTTGGTTAAAACTTTTAAGAAGAATATTGCGTTTGCTCTTTATTATGAGCGCCAGAATAATATTCATAAATGTCAAAAATATCAAATGCAAACAAAGCAAAGGAAAGGGAGGGTAAACAAACAGGAAAACTGACAAGGGGTTCATAGATGCAGTGCAGTAATAGTAAAAATTAAGCAAGCCCAAAATAACCGCATTAGTCTTTGCAATGCCTTTCATTTTTATTTTTATTTTTTGTTTATGCTCCAGTAAGCAAACATACATAGATGATACATATACCTAGCTTTTCCCAAAAACGAAAAAAGTCAAAGTTTTCAACTGGGAGAAACCAAATTACTTAAGGGTCTGGGATACAAATACGGATGCTTCCGGGTACAAAGATTACGAGAAATAATCTAATTCTAGAAGATACAACAATACACAATTGGAGACGGATGAACAAGATTACAGGAATATATGCACAAAGAGCACTTAAACACGCAAAATTCTATTGACGGCATTTGTACATTAGAACACATACCTGACCAAAAATCAGTCTACAGTTATTTTAGCTGGAAGGTGAATTCCGGGAGCCTGGTCTTCTACAGCAATGCCTTGACAGTTAACTAATCTTATGGAACTATCAGCAATATGTTGGAACCTGCTTCGGACCTCCATAAAGCTCCTGCATAGAACCTTGTCAACCCAATCCTTGACAGCTTCCTTTCTGTCAGATAACCAAGCAGCGGCAAGTATCTGCACCATTACTTCTGAGTCGATCTCCAGCTTGATATCCACTCCAACAATCTCCTGGAGGTTGAAGTTGACTTCCTTCAAAATTTTCTCAGCCAGAGCACCAAAATCAAATGGCTTGAAGACCACATTATCGTCCATTTGCTCCAAGATTTCCTCCAACCATGCTTTTGAACCTTCAGAGCCAGAGTCACGGTCACACTCATCACGTTGATTCTCCTCTTCCATCTCTTCCACAGGCAAATTCAAATCAAGAGAAGATTTCGGGATGGTGCACACACGTTTCGGCATTTGAAACAGCTTGCCATTGTTCGAGTCAGTCTGCTTTCTTTTATATGCAGGGAAAGATTCTGATGTTCCGTCCCCTGAAGTAATCCACAAATTCGTATCCTTCACTCTAATCCTATTTACATTGCCAGATCCAATTGCTATCTGCATCTGCAAGTTTTTGGCTGCTAATATATTCTCTTCTGAAAACTCAGGACTCAAAAAGAAATCTTTAGTAACTTTTGCCGAATTTGAGGTAATCACAAAAATCATGTTATTGATGCTGATTTCCTTCCCGTGCAAGTTCAAAAATTTACCAGTTCTGATAGAGTGAGACAAACTATTCTGAACAAGAAAATCAGCCTTTTCTACGTTTTCAAGAAGCACAAGAGAGCAACGCTTCTTGCTTAACTCCTCAACAATGTAGTCGACAACTGTCTTTCCCCTAAGATTCATGTAACCGTTTCTTGTATCTTGATGGTTAAAGAGAGAATTTGAGTAGCTACTCCCATCACTAGAGCTCAGATCCACAGAGAGCAAGCTATCGCTGCAACCAAAGACTTTCTCAGCAAGAGCTTTGGCAATTTTATGCTTCCCCACTTTGTCAGGACCAAGGAAGCTGAGCCATATATTATTTCCTTTGCTAGAGCCATGACGCCTTCCATTTCCACTTCTGCAACGGGAGACAGTCTGACTAATGGCATAAATGGCTTCCTCTTGCCAACATACATGTTCAGAAAGAGCTTTATAGAGGTTCTTAAAGTCTTTTGCATCCAACTTATTGTCTAACAGAGGAACAGAAGAAGCAGAAGAAACTGATCCTGAAAAGTAATTAAGGCGATCCTGGTGCTCCTGAAAGCTGGGTTTCCACAGCTCTCTCTCAGTGGATACATAGATGGTTCCCAACCCCAGGTCCGTGCTAACGGAAGCATTTGAAGCTGATGATGTATGATCAAGGGGCAGGCTCAGATCATGTGGAGCATGAGGGGAAGGGGTCCAGATATTTTGCTTCTTCAGCTGCTGTGTTTCCAAACTCTGAGCCAGTAGTTCAGCTTGGGAATCAGATTCACCTTCAGAAACGATTGATTTTGACATGTTCTTTTGGGTCATGGAGGTGTTTTGCAAGTCTGATAATATACAACTTTGATTAGTAAATCTTGCATCCAACAATGAACCTTTATTGCTGCTTTCAACCGCAGCAGCACAACTCTGAAAGATACCAAAACTGGGAAGATGTGACCTGGCTTGAAGAGCATCTGGTTGAAATGGATGTATGTGATGAAGACGCTGGCATATATCATTCCACTTCTTTTGCAATCCCACCAGTCTGGCATTTAATAAACTGTTGTCTTCATTGGCCTGCACTGAATTGACAGAGCACATCTTTACTGAGAGTTACTAGCTCAGTTAACCATAATGTAACTATGATCACATGAAAAGCAAAAGAATTGGACACTGAATGACACACCTCTACCCCAACTAGTCCCCTGCTTGGACCACATTCAGCCTTTTGTAACCAAGAAGATAAATGTGTTGCATGCTCATCAGCGACTGAACCAGTTGTTCCTCTCAGCGTAGTGGAAACTTCTTGCTCATACTTTTCATTGCAAAGGTTGCATCGAGCTGTAGATTCATTTTTGTTTCTGCACGAGTTTTCAAACTCGGATGCTGTGGGAAAGAACCCGCCAAGCGGAACAAATGACCTCATCAAGCTGCAAATAGCAGTACCCGACCATAAGAATTAATGCACACAGAAAGTCAGAAGCTAAGATGCACACAATCTTATACAATTAACCTCTTAGCATATGCACTAAATCAGCACTAAATCAGCACAAACCACTCAGAATCAAATTAAGAAATCTCAGGAGCGCTTTTACTAGGTGTATTAAAGAAAGAACGGGGATTCAGTAAAGAAAAAAGGAAAAAAAGAAAAGGAACTTCTTTGGACAGACACCGCAGAATAAAGCATAGGGTTGTTTAATTTGTTGAGTGCACGAAAAACTATACGATCATGTTATTACTGTGACAGAACCCTTAAAAGAATCCACAGCTAAAGGTTAAAGTTTCAATAAAGATCAAACTTGAGGCACAGTCAAAAATCTAGACTTTAAGGCTCAAAGCTTAAACTAAGATGTTTCTGTTATGTACCAAACAAACAGGGACTATGGTGTTCACATACACCTAGTAAACACTGCAACAGATCAACTGAGAGGAGACAATGTTCACATACCTACAAAATGGAAACATTGGGAGGACAGTCTATGGTGTTCTAAACATTGCAGACTGCAAACCAAACTTATCATCTGGATTTGAACCCTCGTCTTTACATATGCTAGACCATGTCATCACATGTGTTCTCTATTACTGTCGGCCCAAAACCAGAGCAGCTACTGCTACATCATAAGTATTTAAAAAAAAAAAAAAAAACTATGCTTGATTCTTTTATCTGGCTCGTGCAATACTTAACAAATGTTCAGCTTTAACTTTTTCAAGAAGGGAAGTGATGGAAAACACAGTGTACCCAGTACATAACTTAGTCTAGCTAATAAAGGGAATCTATATTATAGAAAAAATTAATAAATTAAATAAAGGGAAAAAGATAGAACTACATATGATTTTTAGCGTACCAAGTAAGTTGTAATAAAAGAAGCTCGTATGTTTATGCTTAAAGAAAAAAAAATTGAGGACAGAAAATATGGGATAAGATGTTTAAGTTTACATAGTCCTTCCCTATGTTTCCTTTATTCTTCGTCAGGCTGCTCTTGCAATTAAGCAACATGTAAAAGAGCCTACGGATTTGTAATCAAGAAAGGCGAAATGCTTGGTCATTTATGACATGTTGCATCCCCTTTCCTGATTACGCACATTGTTTTCTTTCATTAGAGGAAAAGAGATATGCTTTGACATTTATCCTGCTTTGCATTTTATTATGTCCTACTCCTTACTTCTAATACTGAGTCATTAAAGAAGTGAAAGGTTAAGTTAGACATACATCTACATATTCATAACGCAAAATTCGAAAAGAGAGTTTAAGATACCAATATTTAATGCTGACGCCAATACCAAAGCTAAAAAGCCCCACCCCCCCAAAAACCCCCAACCCTCTAAATGGCATAAAACTTGTACAAGTTAACCTACTCTTGACATTTCAAGAAATGGTGATTACATCAGATATGTACAAGGCTAAGAAGCAAAGAGATACTCTACAACCAATCAACTACTGCAGAAAACAGTTTAATCTGCAACCGCTTGTGACGGTACAAACATAGTAATAACAAAAATTGTGGTAAGGCCGAATGAATGCAGGATAAACATTCAAACAGATTCTGGAGTTATGAGGTACGTCCAAAGAAAACTTCTTTTGGACTAGATGAGATTGCACAGTGGAAAATCCATCTAGAAGTGGATCTACACTCAATAAATTATGCTAGTAAATAAAATACTTCAGGTAACTTCTAATAAATTTATCAACTACCAGCCAGCAGAAACAGTGGAAAACCTGTACGTGCCTCAAGTAGAGATTCTGCACATAATAAAACATTATAATAGAAAAACATTATTACTACTCGTACTTGATAAGTCATAGAATCATTTTATTAAAATCGCCCCAAGATGGTGTCAAAATTACAATCCCATATATCGCATCAAGCTTCCAAAACCAAAACACAAAGAATAACATAGGATTCATCTTTTGCATTCACGGTTCTCAAGCAGCTCACATCCAGAGTCCCAAATGACAAAATTTCACGGTTGACTTAATAGATCTCAAAAACTTAACATTATTAGTTCAACTTTATGACATTTCATAACTCTGTTTAGGTACAACCATATTTAAATTGTTTCAAGTCAAGTGTATTAAAGAATTTGTGACTTTGTCAGACATTTAAAAAAAACTCTCATATGCTGTACTAAAGCATTATAATAATATGTCCTAAAGGGGAATACAATAGAAGAACCCACCTGGATTTGGAAGGTAGTCCTGGAGTGGATGATGCAGTAATGGGCAGGAGATGTAAATTCCAGTCCTTTTGAATTGTGGGGAACCGACCCAAAAACTTCATATAAATGTCATAACTTGCTGCTGCTCCAACCAACCACAATTTCCCGCTATAATCTTCCACTATTTTAGTGAACCTGGAAACCACGTATTTCACCGACTCCAGTGACTCTTCATCATCATCAACAAACTCCTTCAGATCCCCATAATTCACTATAATCCCAGCACCTGCCGCTGTACAACACTCCACAGCATCACTTACTTCCTTAAACTTCAAGCTCATCATTTCTTCACTCCCACCTCCGCCTATGAACTCTGAAATCTCCTTTTCAACACAAATTACACTCAGCCCTTTAATTTCATCAGGCAAGACACCACTTTTACCCTTCTGTACACAATCAGTGAAGCTGCAAAGTGCATCACTTGCACAAATCCCGATTAACAATGGATTTCTACACTCTTTCTTCACAAGAATCTCCCCGATTCTTCTAGAATTCTCATCATTATTCACCGTTTTGGGAACGCCAGAAAATGGGAAGTTAAACCCACGGTTGTTCTCCGAATCGGTTAAAGTACAAAGAAACAGAGGCGGGCAACGCGTCGTCTTGGAAAACCTAGAAATGGCGGGTGGATTCAGAATTGCGAGCTTTATATCACAACTCCGAAAACCCGCTTCCCCGAAAACCCGACTCACAATCGGGTCATCCAAAATCGATAGTATAAAATGCTTCAGCTCAACTTTAAGAGTGGAAATGGAGAAGTTGGAGGTATTCTGTTGCTGAAGTTGTTGATAGATGTGGAAAGTATCAGGGTGCCTTCTTTGGTTAGCTTGTGAGCGCTTGATTGCTGCCATGAGAGAGTTCGAGATAGGCGGCTCATCTAGGGTTTTGGCCGTCGGCAAACGATCGAGAGAAACACTGACGCTGAGTTCCAAGGCCCTGAATTGCAGCCGCGGCGAGTACGCGCAGCTGCGAGCACGTGCACACGCGTCGCGGAGGCTAGACGATGGAAGTGCNATATTTCCTTTTTCTTGAAGCAAAGATTGAAGGAAATAGTAAAAAATTCCAAGAGTGTACATTTCAGCAACTTTTGGAAATATTTATTGAAGCAGCTTTTAGAGATAGAAAGAGAGGAATTTCCTTTTTATAATTATTATGAGGTGGGCCAAAGTATTGATAATGGAAAGGACACAGTGACAAAAGGTGCAGAGGGAGACGAAAATGGGGGTATAAATTCTGTTGTAAACATTTCAAAAGAAGAAACATCTTTTCCACTGCTTTTATAGATTTATGGCAATTTTACTGAGTAGAATTTGGATTTATGGTGGCTATTTACTGGGGGTGAGGGAGAAGAGACATGAGATGCCGTGTCCACTAGTAGATAAGAGAAATGGGACCATGAATGAAACACAATATAGCAGCACCAAGGTCAGCATCAAGCTTTTCCACACAAAGATAGAGGGATCACTAGTGGAAAGAGGTCAAATCAAAGTTTCTATTCCTAAAGATTTCATTTGATAAGGTAGAAAGGTGAAAAGGAAGAAAGATAGAATGAATAATGAATGACTATCTTTTGCTACATTTTTCAAATTTCAAATAGAGAGATTTTAACATATGTACATCCTAGCACTCTATATTGCACTCATTTATATAGTCATATTTTTATATAGTCATATTTTTTTTCCTTACAGTGGCAGCATAGTCTATTATTAGTATTATTTTTTTTTAACATAGTTTATACACTAGCTCTTCTTCATGACTCTGACACCACAGGGAGTGAGTGGAGTACCGGAAGTTAGAGAGATCAGTAAAATAGTATAGTAAGGATTAAATTACTAGAGTAAAAATTGAATTACTAGAGTAGAGATTTGATTACCTTCGTAGATATTGAATTACCTCAGTAGAGATTGAATTACCTTAGCAACAGTTGAATTACCTTAGCAACGGCTGAATTATTCGCACAAAAGTCTTCCTACAATGGAGTGCTGGAGGCTCACAAAAGGCGTCCCTTGCCACAACTAGGTCGTCAACAACGAACTTAGAAAACTTTTGCACTCCTGATGCAACAACTACTAAAGAAATCTTTCTCAGTGACTAAAGCAATCTTCCTCAACTACTAGAGTAATCTTCCTCAACTACTAGATCAATCTTCTTCAACTAATAAAGTATTTTGAGACTCTACACTTTAATATAAATCAGTTATATCCCCATATTTTTTAGGAAGAAACTATAAGGGACTAAGTTAGAAGAAGACATTTTATTACACGAGAGTTTTTCCAAGAGAACTAAGTTAAAAATTAGATGATCTCCAACTATTACAAAGACTCCTATTTATACGAGATGAAAAGTTAGTACATGTATTACCCTTATTTAATTATATAGTTCAAGTGACATAAAACAAGTACAACAAACTTAAAAGTCTTAAAATGTAAGACACTTATTTGGCTAATAAATAAAGCATAAAAGCATGATCATGAACTAGAAAACAAATTTTATGGCCTTGGATTTTGGTATTGGTTTGTATAAGACATGGATGATGGCAAAGGGACCTATGGATAGTATTTGCATGGCGTTAGGTTTGGAAGTTTATGGCTTGACATAGATGACTTTTCTTTGACGACGTGAGGGACCCTTAAATAGTATTTACATGGCATAGAACTTCGAAAAATTTATGGCTTGGCATGAATGATTTTTCTTTGATGATTGAAGGAACATTTAATAGTACTTGCGTGACATAGAACTTCGGGAACTTTATGGCAAGACGTGGGCATGCAACTTTATTAATATGTTTTTAGATTTTTATGGTAATTTTTGGTGGGTTAAAGTGGCTAAAAGGTGAAAAACTTATGCAGATTTTTTTTTGTTTTCCATGGTAATTTCTTGAGGGGTAGAGTGGTAAAAAGGATAAAGAAGGTGTTCATACTTTTATTTCTTCAAATGGGTACTTACCGAGGGGATTAAGAGGTGAAAATGGTTTAAGACACTTGTGCGGTTTTTTAGTTTAGGAAAAAAGGGACTTATGAAAAGGAATTTGGCTAAAAAGGTTTAGAAGACTTATGCAAGCTATTTCATAGCTCATGATTATGCATTATGGTTGTCTTTAACCCTTCTAACCTTCGTTTCCAGCACTTGTGAAATATCTCTTAATGTATGGATGATCTTCTTCCATAATTCTTGCTCTTTTACATGTCCTCTTCTGCGACGAAGTGTTATTTTCTCTCATTTAAAATAATCTTAGCAATTTTTGCTGGATTAATTTCATATGGATCGTGTAAGTCCTCAAGCAATGCCATGTATTCTTTGAGCTCTGCTTTAACATCTTTCCAAAGAGGATAGGTGGAAGAATAATTACAATTCTTTTCTTTTCCTGGCCATATCACCTTTGTAATGGTTCTGTTGTGCTGGAAAATCATCTTATGAGCTTCAGCGTACTTTTCTTTCCTAGCTTGAATTGTGACTGGATAATGATAGCAGAGAGACACTTTAGGGATCACATGAATGGTGCTCTGGACAATGTCAAATGGCCCATGGAACATAAATATTTTGACTCCACTATAATGAAAATGATGAACCCAATATTTTTGAGGTTTGAACCACAACAAAAATATTTTTAGGTGTGGTTCAAGATTTTTAAAATCCCGAAAATAATCATATTTAAATTCCATAAGAATGCAATACTGATGACATAGAAACCAAAAGAACCATAAGAGCTCCTGTGTAAAATTCCTAGCATGTGCTGAGAAAATCTGATAATATGGATACTCTGAATGGATAATGCCTACCCTAAAAAATTGGAGTTCATAAAAATTCTTGCTTCCTAGCAAGATGAACAGATCAAGAGGATCCGAAAATTCTAATAGATCTGGCGGGTGATGTGATGACATTGATGAGGAACTTGGCCATGGGACCTCCGACAACATGAACACTTGGTATGTTGGCTTCTTCTTCCAGTGCCTGATACCATGGAGGTGTAACTTTTTGAAAAATTCATCTGGCCTTAAAAGGAAATTAATGTAATGACCCGACCGGTCATTTTGAGCTTGTGTACTTTGCTCGCCAGTTCTCGAGCATGACTAGCCCCGTGTGATGCATTATGACTTATGTGAATCGTTGGTTTTGGTTTTTCAGGGTAACCGAAATGAATTTGGAAGAACAGTCCTCAGTTTGAAGTTTAAAATTTGAAAGGTTTGACCAAAGATTTGACTTGTTAGTATATGATCTCGGATCGAAATTTTTATGATTTGGTTAGCTCCGTTAGGTGATTTGGGACGTAGGAGTGTGATCGGAATGAGTTTTGGAGGTCCGGAGTAGATTTAGGCTTGAATTGACAAAATTGGATTTTTGGCGATTTCCGGTTGATAGGTAAAATTTTCACATAGGGGTCGGAATGGAATTACGAGAGTTGCAGCAGTTCCATTGTATCATTTGGGATGTGTGTGCAAAATTTCAGGTCATTCGGGCGTGGTTTGGTTGGGTTTTTGATCAAAAGCGTAATTTAGAAGATTTTGGAATTCTTAGGCTTGAATCCGATACGAATTGGTGTTTTGATGTTATTTTGAATGTTCCGAAGGTTGGAACAAGTTTGATATGGGATATGTTGGAATGTTTGGTTGAGGTCCGGGGGGCCTCGGGTGAGTTTCGGGTGGTCAATCGGACCATTTCATATTGTGAAAAATTGCAGAATCTCTGCTGTTGGTGTTGCAGATTTTTGACCTTCGCGTTCACGATGCATGTCCCGCGTTCGCGAAGGGTTAAGGTGTGAGGTTGTGGAGTTGGCCTTCGCGTTCGCGAAGATGGTTCCGCAATCGCGAAGGTGTGTGGTCTCTGGTCATCACGTTCGCGAGTCTCCTGTCGCGTTCGCATAGAGGAAGGGGAATAGGTGGGTCCCCAATGCTTTTGTTCTACGCGTTCGCGTAGTAGAGGTCGCGTTCGCGAGCTATTGAGTTTGTTGTGCTTCGCGTTCGCGAGAAGGTTATCGCGTTTGCGTAGAAGGAATTTTGCTCTGTGAAGCAGTGTGCTTCGCGAACGCGAGATTATGCCGCATTCGCAATGAAGAAATGCTTGGGCAGTCAGATTATATTTTGAAAATGAGGGTTTAAGTCCAATTTCATAATAACCATTGTAGAGCTCGGGAGAAGGTGGAATTTGAGGAAATTTTCAGTGGAGCTATTGGGGTAAGTATTCTTCACTCATATTTGGTTTAATTCCATGATTTGGTCTTGAATTTCATCATTTAATTTGAGAAATTAGAGTGAAAATTGGAGAAAAATGGAAGAAAAGTTTGAGATTTCTTTTAGGGATTTGAATGGGCAATTGAGGTCGGATTTTGATGAATTTGATATGGGTAGACTCGTGAGTGAATAAGGATTTTATTGATGTAATTTTTATCGGATTCCGAGATGTGGGCCCTGGGGCTGGGTTTGAGCAATTTCGGGATTTTTGATGTAAATTGGATATTTTCGAGTGGGCTTTGTTCCCTTAGCATATTTTAATGGTTATGTACTGATTGTGGCTAGATTTGGAGCATCCAGAGGTCGATTCGTGAGGGAAAAGGCATCGCGGGCTAGAGTTTGGACCGGATCGAGGTGAGTAATGATTGTAAATGATGTTCTGAGGGTATGAAACCCCGGATTGCACATCGTTGTGCTATATTGAGGTGACGCATACGCTAGATGACGAGCGTGGGGTCATGCACTGTTGGGGATTGTGACGTAATCCATCCCGAATGACTGTTTTACTGCGTATTTGATTGAAAACTATTTGATATCATCATGTTTGAGCTGAATGTCATATTTGGGCCTCGTGCCAACTATTTGAACCCTTCGAGGATTTTTATTGATATTTTCTCACTCTTTTGACTTTAAACTTGTACTCAGTCATGCTATATTCTACTATTTTCAAAACTGAGCCATGTTTACTCTGCTTTAACACTTGAAATAATATTTTGGGCTGAGCATCATATTTTACTGTTGCCCGAGTGGCTTATATGATTTTGACTGAGTAAGGTCAAGGGCATGTGTTGTGAGGATACTTTTGGGTCGGGCTGCACAACGCAATAGTGATACACTGATTATGAGGC